AGTAAAGAAATTTAGCTTATACCTCAGATCAGGTTACATCAACCCACTGATGCAAGCCTTTGGACAAACCTTTGAAATTAGGGTAAACACAATTTTCTACTATTTACCTTTCACACGTGCAAGATGGCGGAGACGAACTGCGCTCGCAAAGATCAGTGGGAAAAAGCGGTTGGCAGACCGGAGGGAGAGGTGGGGAGAGGGGCTGTCTGCGCAGCATGTGGAAGGGGTGGGGGAGGGCAAGCCGTCCCCAAAAACTGTGGATCACCAAATTCCACCATTATCAAAGATTTTAAGGTTTAGTTATTCAACGAGACACGAAAAACTTCCGCTCATCTTCTTGCCAACATTATAAATGCAGAACCGCAAATTCCAACTGACAAATTCCCGGATGACTGCTTGTTTGTTTGATTGTAGAAACTGTTGAAAGGAATACCATCAAAGTGCCAGCATCACGTTTTGCGGCGCGTAGTTTTCTTCCGCTAATAGGTTCAGACCTTGGGGAAAAAAATAAATGACCTTTGCAGTGTATGCTGGGTTATATGGTATCAGAGGCAACAGTATTCACAGGCTAGCTGCAATCCTGTTCACCTCTGTATTCAGCCGCCTCCGTAAACCCACTAGATTGCGAAGAGTGTCAATTTTTCTCTATCAATCCGTTAAGCAAAATTAACGGTACGACATGTGCGAACCACGAGTACAGTAGCACTTCCCACTAACCCTCACCTCTCTACAACGGCCACTTTAAAAAACATAGCCCCCCTACAATTTTGGGCATAGATGGTCCCACACGTATAGTCCCATGCATCTCGGGTGCGAACAGATGATCCCATAGTTCTCGGGCCAAGGGGAAGAATTAGAATACACATACACCTAAAAACTCTATACAGATCCCTTGATCATTCATACTGACGAGGGAATACTTTCCCACTAATTTTCAAAACGCGGAAAAATTCAGTTCCTCAGGCTTTATGTTAACAGCGCAGTTTCTCTCTGCTTTTAGCGCTATCTCCAGAGGTTACATTGACTGTCCTTTCCCGTTCCAATGCTCTAACGCGTTTCCTTCCGAGTTTGGTCATGAAATTCAACTTGCATCGTCTTACCACAATTTTCTTTAGTCTCTGTGTCCATTAACTTGAGGGTTCCCGGTTGTGTTCCTCCCCCAACACCGCTTTCCGTATTCCTTGTTGTGGCGCCACTCCCAGTGCTTTAAAATTTTTTCAATACGCTACTCCTAGTAAATTTGATCATCAGTTTAATTTGATTATCTCTTGCCTCTTTTCACNCTTTCCGTATTCCTTGTTGTGGCGCCACTCCCAGTGCTTTAAAATTTTTTCAATACGCTACTCCTAGTAAATTTGATCATCAGTTTAATTTGATTATCTCTTGCCTCTTTTCACGTCTTCCCATGTCCATTAGCTCGCGAGTTCCCCAGTGTGTGTCAGCCCCTCCACCTCCCTCCCCCTCTCCCGCTTGCACCGAGTTAGGCATTCGCCATTTTCGTGCTTTTTCCAGGGGATCTATTGTATCGAACTTTCTTTTCGTGCGCGTTTCCCTGCAAATCTGGTCATTAATTCAAAGTGCTTCGCTCTTTTGCATCCTGTGTTGATTATCTGTGCCTGTTTTTATGCATATTCTTGTCCAGTAATCGAGATTTTCCCATTGCGCGTTCCTCACTTACATTACACGACCTCTGTTTTTCCAGCGCCCCCAATCTATCTCAGTGCCCTCTTGTGATTCGCGGTTTTTTCAGATTATTTTGTATCTAACTTTCTGTAGTTCCCACGCACGTTTCCTCGCAACTTTTGTTATGAAAATAAGTTTTGTCGTCTTGTACTACCTGGATTTTCTGTAGCATTTTGAATGCTCCCCTTTAGCTTGTTAATTGTTGATTTCCCAATATTTCTAGCGAATTACAATGTATATGCACTTCCCTTTTAGCGCACTACAATTGTTCAGGAAAACCTCTTTAACTCGGATAAATTAAAACACGATAATAAAACATTAGAAACTGGTCATTGGGTCGATGAGCTTCAGAGAGCCCAATCTCGTCATTTTGGAGCTGGACCCGTTTTGTCTCGATACTCACAAATTCAAACGGCGATATATTTGCNNNNCGCGTTTCCCTGCAAATCTGGTCATTAATTCAAAGTGCTTCGCTCTTTTGCATCCTGTGTTGATTATCTGTGCCTGTTTTTATGCATATTCTTATCCAGAAATTGAGACTTTCCCATTGCGCGTTCCTCACTTACATTACGCGACCTCTGCTTTGCGCTTTTTCCAGCGCCTTTAATGTATCTCATTGCCCTCTTGCGATTCGCAGTTTTTCCAGAGATTATTTTGTATCTAACGTTTAATTAAATATTGAAATGCTTAAGGCGTCAAACTTTTTTAACTTTGTTAGGATCGGAAACGTCTTTTATTTGCACATGTTCTCGAAGATGAGACACTTATGCAGTTATCATGACAATCTATTCATAATTTATTTTGGATGACAAATTTGTACAATATATTACATTTTTCAGTTTTACAATTCTCTCTGCGCAATGTATATGGGGCATGGTCACAAAATATATCATATTCTTTAGCAAGTGACAAGCGACAAGTGACATGAGTTTGTTTGTTTGTTTTTTTGTTTTTGTTTTTGTTTTTGTTTTTTGCTTTTCCGCGATTTCCGAGATGGTCGGAAAAAAATTACTAGTAAGGGTTGTACGCGAGGGATTGTTCTATGTATACTTTTCAATCTGTTCGCCATGAGGTAGTCTCCTTTTGATGGCATTGTCACGCAACGATTCTCCCAGTTAAGAAGCGTTGCGTGACGACCTAAGTATGGGTTGTCACGCAACTTGTTGAGGTTGCAACTTGTTGAAGCAAATGTTTAAATGGATACTATCAATACAGGAATAGATCTACAGATTTTTGATCATGATATTGGGAAGTCCGTGACGTCGTATCTTCCATCCTCCAAGTTCTTTTGCTTCAAGCCTGAGATACTTCAGCCATCTTCGATACTCGCGACTGGTAGATGCTCTGAAAACGTACGTCTCTTTGCCTATTGACATGATTTCAAAGGCGTCCTTCCGCTCTGCAGCAAAACAGTATGCAGCCAATGAGAGGCGATACTTCATGTGATATGTCAAACAAGAGAGACCATGTTTTATCACATTTCAAAATATTGAGAGGAGAGTTGAAAATACGACTCACAGTGGAGTATTTTTGACGAACTTCGAAAAGTTTGGAAATGTGTTGAGCCACTGTCTCTAATGTTTGATATATCTTTTCAGAGGAATCCACAACCAACGTCACGGTTATGATCTCCCCTATTTAAGCCGAGTGAATTATTGATAAGTTTGAGATTAAACCCTCACAAATTGCTCAATTAAAACAGTTTTTTCTAATAAGACTATCTTTTTATATATATACGCATTGTGAACCTATTTTTTCAACTTACCACGGTCTCTGTAAATTACACACATGTCCAAGTACAGTGGCTCCTGCGAGACAAAACAAAGCGAAACTTAGAAAAGATCAGAAAACTTGATGCTTTCTTTGTTCCAGAGTGATTGGCAATGTGATTGGGGGATAAGAACCCGCAGAAAATATAACCATTATCTATTGAATAGGTTTCCTGCGGACCAGATATGTTTTGGTTTTGAGCATCTTGACAGCAACAAACATTACTTGCAAAAAATTTTGGACGATTTTAATTTCGGACGAATAAAGTGCCCCAAAATAAAACCGTCCGAAATTTTTAAGCTTCAACTAGCGCCAGAGCTCCTAATTTCCTTTACTGATGCCCGACTTTATGGAGCGAACTCTAGTTGAGACAAGGCTTGAAATACGTAATGGCTGGATGGTGTATCTGTAAAATCTCGAGGGTGCAGTAAAACTATCATTTTCATAGATATTTTTTCGGTCTAATTTGTGTTTTGTTGGCGTTAACTTACTTCAGCTATAAGAAATAACACGCAAACTGCGGTGATACATACATACTTTATTGTGATAAACATGGCAATAAAACGCATGTTAAAAAACAAAGTTCATTTACTTGACGTTTCGTATGTTTCAACATACATCTTCAGAAGTGACCGTTAGGAA